TCTATCATTCGTACATCCTGCCTTTCAGAGTGCACAGAAACACTTGCAAGAGAACCAGTATCACGCAATGTCTGGTGAATTCGCGTAAATACACTTCGAGATGGAATCCTTCGATCGGGAAAATGCCTTTGGTATTCTTCAAGAGCAGCACGTGCATTGCCACCGCAAAATCCACACACAAAATGCATATCACAATATTCCACGTGTGAAAACACAAAAGGCATTTCAGCAACTCATCACACAACTAATTTACCACCCATTCACGACCCCGCCGCAACGTAATCTGTAGGCTCTGTAGGTAGCGCATGAGCTTACGGCTAGTGACTCACAGCACTCAAGGACAAACAGATAACGGTCTCAGCTGACAGGTACAGTGCGTGGACCTGTCAGAAGACCACACTTTTCTCGGGCCATTATCACCGTAACCGTTCAACTTTGGACATAGGTGTTTTGGGTTATATCGGCATACTTTAACATAAGGAACACCCTCCCAAAGTTTGGTCCATTCCTCCTGGGACACCCTGTATATACAAGTATGGCACCACTCAAAATGGAAAATCCAGGGAATGTACCTCCTTCCCATAATGAAGATGTTCCCAAAGGAAAACCACACAAACCACAAGACTCCCATCCACTGCTCTTGGGACAGACTTTTATGTACACCATGCTCAGCTTAAACCAATCCCTTCGTTAATTGCAATTTCTACACTCTGCAGTTACCAGATAGCGATATGCCTTGCCATACTTATGGAAATCTTACAGTTCCCTCAAGATGCACAGTTACACCGCAACAGCAACTGTCATCTACAAATTCAAACTGTTACATAAGCATATTATGGACCAACATGTGGCCCTTCGGAACTTCAACGAGCTTGAAAAATCTTGTTAATGACATTATATTGGAGTGCTTTGTGTACCTTTCATTTTAAACATTAAAATACTTTCTAAATTACACTAGTAGGAAAGATGAAATCAGGGGAATACCAAGTAACATCAAATTCCAAATACTTAATCTATCAAAGAAACATTAATTCTTAACAAGGGCAAATTATATAATTGAAATGTAAAGCACCATAATAACATATCAATAACTGTGCTGTAAAGCTTTTGACCTGAGTTACCAGACTTTTTTTAGTCTTTGAACATTCAATCTCTTAATTTGGATTAAACAAAATGACTGGTTTGAAAAGGTTATATTAAATATTTCCATTCAAAATAACAGATCGACACAAGCTGACCTGTTTTGTAGGATAATATAAGAATGATTTGATAAACTGGCATCATCCACTAAACCCAACTGCCTTTCTACCACTCTGGTAGTGGAAACGTTATTTACTACGTGCCTGTACACTGTCTGAAGCGCAGAGAAGATGCTGTGTCAAGTCTTGTGTAACACAAAACTTGCAAGCCAGACAGATTTACAGTCTAATTTAAAATGGTGCCTTGACTGCTGAATCCCTTGAATAAAAACAAATCACAATTAAATCTGTAAAGTTTGGTCTCTCAGGATCTGAAAATAAACCTCATCAGCGATAACCACGAATATATTGAGACATGTAAATCCACTGCTATGTAACGCCCACAATACACACACATACACACACAGCCAACAATACTGGAGAAGCGTTTTCTTTGTCCACAGTGACATCACACAACAACAGTGAGAAGTGGTCAAGTGATGTGTTTTCTGTAGGTCCATGCTGAGACCGTTGCTATACAGCAGCCAGGGCACAAATGAATTGTCTGCATAGCAATCACATGACATGTGTTTTCTGTGATGCATGCCCATTCTGCGTCTATATATGAAAACCAGTTTGAAGGAATGACATCAAGAAAATGGGAAGACAACGGCACACTACAGAGAGAACTGGAACTAGGAGCTGTGAGCAACTCTTCAAGATTAATTGTTCAGGTATTCAAGAGTTGAGAGTTCAGACCAGGAGATTTCAGTTGTAGCTCAGAAGCCATGAGTCATACTGAGTAGTAGGAGATTAGGGACTAGAGACAAGTCTGAGAACCAAAAGAAATATAGCGAGAGATTTGTTATGAAGAACAAGTTCGATGTTCTAACTGTTATAACCAAGCATAATTATAATAGAGATGTACAATAAATCCAGTCACTAAATTTAGAGCCCACAATTATTATATCATGCCTACCCCTCATATACAAGAATATAAATATTTCAGAAATTGTATCAATTAACTGTACCAGAATCATGCAAAGACAAAGGCAACATTAGTGCTGGTAGTGGATGGGCCTCCATCTACGTTTCTTTATTCTAAGAATGAAACAGTGTGCGCACAACATACTGAAAATTTGAAACCATATTCTTACAACAAAATCTGAAAAGACCTTCCTTGTACCTGATAAGATCTGGTGCATGTACAACAGCATCTACTATGGCATCACGGATCATCGCTCGGTCTTGTTCATGGATACTAAATGGTAAGGGCTGGCCAGGTTCCACCTCTCGGTCTGCCCAGTGCTGTGATACTAGATTCTTCAGGTAGATTACACCTGGTTTTCAAACACATTAATAGCGTATTAAATTTCTTCATCAATTACTCAGATATAAAGAGCACCACTAAAAATTCCCGATGTGGTAAAATCAAGAGCTTGGGAACATTTCTTGGACAGGAAATGTGTTTTAATATGTGTTCAAGTCACCACAACATTTCACTAATACTGACATACTGTATCAATGTTCAGAGTTGCAGAATAAAGTTAATGTAATAAGCTCTGAATGTAAAAAAACTAACTCCATGTAGCTAAGCCCTTCTTGAGAAGCTGCCAGTTGTGCAGCCACTCAGAAACTTCCCAACATTTTATGGAATCTAAAGGTCCATTACCACATTCACAAGAGCTCTCTAGTGGTCCCAATCCTGAGTCAGATCATCCAGTACACACCACCCCATCATCCCTCAGATCCATTTTAATTAATATTATCATCCCATCTAAGTGTAGGTCTTCCTAGTGCCCTCTTTCCTTCTGGCTTTCCCACCAAAATCCTAAATGAATTGGCCCATGCATGCTAAATGCCATACCCATCTCATCCATGAATTGCATTAAAAAACAGCATTCTTAAATGACATAACTCCACGCAGAAGTCCTTCTTGAAAAGCTAAAAGTCACTCCAGTGGTCAAGAAATTCCTTACCTTTTAAGGAACCTAAGATTCATTATTGTGTTCACAAGAGCCCGTCACTGGTCCCTACCCTCAGCCAGCTGAATCCAGTCCACATCTTGCCAGCCTAATCCTTTATGATCCCAAGCAGTCTCTTCCCTTCAAGTTGTCTAAACACACTTCACACTTCTCATTCATGCCAAATGTCCTTCCCATCTTATGCTCTTTGATTTCATTACCCTAAGATTATTTCAAGATTACAAATTATGAAGCTCCTCGCTGGAATTCTCCCCAGCCTCCTGTTAGTTCCTCGATTTTAGGATCAAATATTTTCTCAAACATCCACAATTCACATTCTTCCCTTAATGTGAAAGATCAATTTTCACACTCACCCAAAACAATGGAATACCATTTTAGTTATGTGCATCTTAATTTTTACTTTTAAATGACACAATAAACATTAAAGAACCAATGTTTTCTAACAACTCTAAGTTTTCACTGTGATATACATGTTCTAGAGGGCCTTCTATTTACTGAAACAAACATGACATGATGTCATTTGATATTCTCACCAAAAGTCATGGTTGATAACAAATGAGAGCTCCAAACAAGGGGTTTCAACTGTTACAAAAATTACCTCTCTGACTTAATTCAGATCAGAGTTATAAGCATTCTGGTAAATAAGAATGCAGAAAACTTAAGTTAAACAATTATCACTTACTTCATAGACTCTGCAAACATAAAATTTCAAAATTTCACTGAAATCAAAGGCTGTCATATAAACCACTATGCTCAGTTTGAAGATTGGCCGAGGAGGGTCATAAACTTGATATTTTATGAGGGGATGGGAAGACATGGCTGCCTCTGTCAACACAAGCCATGAAAGCAGACTGCATCTTTCCTTCCCGATTCAATATTTTTCACTTCAAGAACTCCATACATCCATAGCCTGACCCCTCCTCCTAAAAGAAATTCAACTTACTGCTTCAAAAATGCAATTCTGCTTTTATGTCTACTTTAGTTCACACATAATACATTTTTTAAACTGTACAATTCTTCTGTGACACTGTATTTTAATATTCATGTCTTCTCTATAGCGGGAGAAAAAAATATATTCTGAACTGAATGGAATCAGACACTTCCACTGAAGTGTTTTCTTACTGCTGGTCAAAAGTACTTGAACTTTTCCTTATTTACAGAGACATTATTGACAATTCCTTATTCAAAACATGATTCTTGCTTGTATTTCAGTTATAAGACATAAACACACAACTATTTCATTCTTCATTTCTTTCTAACCCCAACAGTTCTTAAGCCTTTTAAAAGAAATCTGTAACGTTTTTCTACAAAATAAACTACCATCACCTACATATAATAATAAACATCTTGTGCAGGATCACACTTCCTAGGCTAACATTTCAAAATATATGTTCCACATCATTTTAATAATTTATATGAAGTAGTTAAACAAATGCTCTTCAGTGATGTTGCTGCTGTTTGTTACCGAGAAACAATATGCCAATAATTAACTCCACAGAGGAAAGTCCTCCTCAAGCATTTATAAGCACTACAGTAACATTCATTATGTTTCGTATCAACTAATTCCATGGAACAGATTAATCCTTGAGAATCCACTCTCTTGTCAGAATAGAGATGTTAGTGGATGCAGTCCACACTCATTCACTCTGTGAACACACGATATGTCGTATGCCTTCCCTCGCTTTACCTCCCCACTGACATCTCTGTACTGTGAACCGTGCAATGGTTCTTCTCCGTGAAGTTCCTTGGAGTCCCCACCCCCCC